TAAAGAGTTTACAGTGTCCAGGGGTGGGGGGGGGGACTGAGGGAAATGATTACTTGGATGGAGCTGACTGGAGTTCTGCTTTAAATGTTCTAAATATCTGATTAGATTTGAGTCTATAAATGAATCCAGTGGCGTAACTATAGCCATAGCCGACCAGATGGCTGCTATGGGGCCTGGGGGTGAGAGGGGGCCCCGTTAGGTTGTTGAGGCAAGTTAAACATATGTGAAGATAACACAGCACTGTATCATTAAGGGTTGGAGTGGTTGCAGCTGATGACAACTCGAATCCCTTGTAAAGTCTTCAGTGTAGAGACGACTTCAGATGCACAAGAGAAGTCTTTGGGACCTTGGCATCATTACCCGCAACTTAGGTCTCGTTCACAGCTAGGCGTATTGCATATGCGCGTCTGTCGCGCGTTTCCGAAGGCTACTTGGCTGTATCCCAATGGAAACGCGCAACAAAACGGCCCAAAGTAGTACCTGTACCTTTTCAGGCGTGGGTCGTTTTGTAGCGCGTTAGGGACGGGCGGAAATACGCCGAGGTGGGAACGAGACCATTGAATACAATGGGATTTATATTTTTGAGCGTTTTGTAGAGCGTTCGTCGAGCGTAGAACGCGCTACAAAACGTTCAGGTGTGCACGAGGGCTTAGAGAGAGGTCATCGGGGGGGGGGTTCCCCATCATTTATTTTGCTATGGGGCCCCGTGATCTGTATTTACAGCCCTGAAGGAATCCCTTTTAAATGAACATCAACTGTGACGTCGTATCTATATCATTTTGTTGCTAGAATTCTATTCTGAGCCGCGCACCATATTTCCTTTTGCACTCCTCAGTCCTCTCGTAGCCATTATGACCAATGACGGGGTTTACATTTGGCAAAACCTTCCGGTCTTGTGAAATTCTAACAAAAAAGCCATCTATGTGACTTATTACCATGAGGTATAATCATCTTAAATCAGCTGTGCACTATATAAAACAAAGTGGCTTTTGTTTTTCATAAAATGGGGCTTTTTTTTCCCTTTTTATTTGGAGCCATTGATGAAAAATATTTTTAGGTCGGCAAGTTTAAAATTTGATTGCCAGACATCAAAAATGTGTTGTTTTTAATATTTCAAAGGTTATTT